TTCTGGGAGGGACTGCGCCAGGGCAGGGGGTGTCGGGGTGCGCCGGGGCGGTACCGCTTTAAATGCACTTGACTCACCTGCTCCGGCGCTGTCGCCTCCTTCCTCTGCTGACAGCTGGGGGCTTTGTTTTCTCCACCCACTCGGCCCGCCACGCTCCGCCCCCACCGCCGCACGTGACTTGTCGTCTGCCGCCGCCACTCGGCGTGTCCACCCGGAGGAGCCTCGCTAGCCCCGCCCATTCCCGGGAGTGCGGGTGCGGGTGACTGTACAGGTGGGGTCCCCTGCGTGGGAAGGGTCCGGGCAGGTCCAAGGTGACCGGCTGGAGGACGCTGGTTCTGGCCCTAGGAAGCCAGCCTAAATTGGTGACAGGGAAGAAAGTGACGGCCAGTGAAATGAACTGGGCTGTTGGGCCCCATCCGAGAGGGAGGTGGCTTGACGAGTGGGCTTGAAAAGGCGACACCACACTCTGAATTAAGTACCTGCAACGGGGGGGTTGGGGATGGGTGGGCGGGGAGGGTGCCCACTAACTACAGTCCATTTGCTTTTTCCACCAAGTGTTTGTACTTACACGATTGATAATGAGGGGCAAACTAGTTGGTCATGAACATTGTTAATTAAACTAGGCAATTCTAAAGCCAAATAATACAATTAATAATTTAAGAATAGCAAGTTGTATTGAGGTTTCAAATCTGCTTGTTTGATGCTGTTGATATTTGCATTCTGTTTGGAAAATGGAATCCAGGCGGAGAAGCTAACTCCAGAAGATTATTGATGTGGGCACTTGTCCATTTGGAACAGCACCTATTTTTAATGAAATGAATTGAGAAAATGTTCTGGCTTCAAGACCCAGCTCAGTATCTGTTGCTTTTGGAAGTGGTCCTGACCTTTGCTGATCACACATCTCTAGTGTTTGAAACCGCAAGAACTTGTCTGAATCCATCCTTTAGCCCTTGGAGAAAAAATATATGCATACATATATATGTTTGTGTGTGTGTGTGTGTGT